AAAACTACTTAGTTAGATCATAATTGTTTCTAAGTATGTGTTCCTGCTTTATACATTTAAAATGTATTGACAGACCACTAGAATTCTAGTTTTTTTAAAAAAATTGGTCCTGCAAGACTGAAGTCCCCTGTTTAGGTCTTCTGTAGCCCAGATCTTCTGCTGAGAGGTTCCCAGTTTCTCTCCCTGCATCAACCTTGATCCAGATCACCAGAGCCCAGTTATCTCTTTCTACCATCTGTGCTCTTCAAGGGCCACATGAGATCACAAGAGCTCAGACTTCATTGCAGGCAGCCTAAGTAAACTCGTAAGAGAAGAGCTGTTTGTTTGAGTTTCCCACTTTTGTATTCTTAAAATAATCTACGGAGGTAATAATGTGGCTCAGGCACGCAGACTGGAGGAAAGCAGGAACTCCGTCATGGTGCAAGGGTGTTGTCCCCATTGTGTTACTCTCCACCCTTCATCTGTCAATCACAATGCTAGCAAGCGGAGTATTTCTCAAATGCTTTCAGCCATGGAAGGCTGTGCGGCCTACACAGTTATAGAAGGGCCCAACCCACGGTTGAGTAATTGTAAAAAGCTTCCCCATGTTTCCTCACATGCTTTTGCTAGAGGACTTGTTTTGCATGACACTCCTTGATTTCCCCAGAAGCCACCCTCTATGCTACATACATATAAGCAGCAATGATTTGAAAAAACAGTTTGCAACAAAAAAAGAGGGGCTGTGGCTCAGTGGAAGAACCTCTGCTTGGCATGGCAAAGGTCCCAGGTTCAATTTCCAGCATCTCTAGTTAAAAAGGATCAGGTAGCAGGCGATGTGAAAGAGACCCTGAGACCCTGGAGAGCCACTGCCAGTCTGAGTAGACAATACTGCCCTTGATGGACCAATAGCCTGACTCAGTGTATGGCAGCTTCAGGTGTTCAAAGACATCTTTGTTCTGAAATTGGCACATATAATAACAAATTAGGGGTCAGACCCAACTGGCTTTTCTGTGGGTAAAAAAAAGACCTTTGTCTTTCCTGTGCTGCTTTTTAAAAAAAATGCAGTGAATTTTGAACATAGGTCAGCATTCAAAAATGGCACTTCCTTCTGTATTCTGAGGTCCTTTTTACCACCCCATTCTGCTGCAGGTATAGATCAGACCTAAGCTAGTGACCATCTATTAGATTTATTTATTTATTTTATTTATATTTACATTTATATCCCGCCCTACCCCGAAGGCTCAGGAAATCCTGATAAACGTCTGATGAATCCCAGGGGTTCCAAGGAGCCAAGTTTCTAGATTGGGGCAGTGATGCTCTATATTTTTGGTGATTCACGGGCAACAGTGGGAGGGCTTCTGTAGTTCTGGGCCCACTGGTGGACCTCCTGATGGCACCTGGGTTTCGGCCACTGAGTGACACAGAGTTTTGGACTGGATGGGCCATTGGCCTGATCCAACATGGCTTCTCTTATGTTCTTATGGTCCATCCAGAGGTCCGGGAAACCACTGAGACTTAAGGGAAGAAAACAGCCTAATGAATTAGCACAGTCTTTGACTTGGTTGTTTTATATGGCTCTGATATTCATTTTTCTCACCTGCGTCTGATCTCCGAAGTGGCTTCTCTTATGTTCTTATGGTCCATCCAGAGGTCCGGGAAACCACTGAGACTTAAGGGAAGAAAACAGCCTAATGAATTAGCACAGTCTTTGACTTGGTTGTTTTATATGGCTCTGATATTCATTTTTCTCACCTGCGTCTGATCTCCGAAGACTAACTCCTTCTTTGCTTTAGGCCATCATGGAGAAGATTCACCTTCACTTGGTCCGAGAACACATTGCCAGGCTCGTAAAGAAGAAAGTCAGCCTGAAGTCTGCAGAGCAGCAAAGCAATTTGGCAAAGGCCATCCAAAGCAATGCCTCAGTTCTGCGCACTTTCTGCACGGAAAATGTAAGTCAGATTGCTCACGGTGTTCTTTTCAGAAGCAGAATGATGTCAGTCTATAAAACATGAATCCAAATGAAGGGCTGGATTGGGGCCTTGTGGCAAAGGAAGCTGGGATTTAACCCTTCAAGCTTACCTGGTTCGCTTTTATTACCAGTTCTAAAGGGGAAAGGTGTGTTTTTAAACAGCCTTTTCCCTTTTAAAATCCTGGTTTTCGGCACAGGAAGCTCCATGGGGGCATTCCGCTCCTTCCCAGCCCCGTGATTCAACATTTAGGACAGGTTTTCCCAGCGTGATACCCGTGAGCACCACAGCGCCTCCCACAACTTCCCTTGGTGCCCACCAAGCTTTTTAAAAAATGGGAGGCGACATTGTAAGACAGGCCTTGTGATTGACTCCCCTCATTCACATGAAAGGATTTCCACTGGTTGCAAGTGGGGATGGAGGTACTGCGTTTGGCTCCATCCAATAGACCTGAATCGGAAAAATACTGGTTGTTGGTTTTTTTGCACACCCCTAGCTCTGATCATATAAAGCAGGAGTGGGCAGAAAGTATATCTTGGTCCGTTGGTGGGCCACTAGTTAATCTAATGGTTCTGCGTTGACCTAACTGGTTACAGAGGTCCTTGCAAGAACGCTAGACCAGGTGGACCTTGGTCTGATGGATCAAAGTTCTTCTGACATTGGCTGCAGTCACACGAATGAGAAAATGCGGGCGGGAAGCGAGGCTGGTTGCCCTGGGCCGAAATGATGCGTGTTTGCACGATCAGACTTCCGCCCACGCGCCCCACAGTTCCGGATACTAGTAGCCTTTCCCTGGTGGCTTTTTTCCACGCTCCTGCGGCACAACGAGACGCCCCATCAACGAATCCAGGACGCTGGACAGATGTTTCTGTCTGATCGCACCCCTTCACTCTGTGCAGGAATCACACCTTTGATGCTGCGTTTGTACGTATGATCGCAGCCATTCTTAAATAAGAGGGCATTGTAAGGGTCACTTAAAACTACTTAGTTAGATCATAATTGTTTCTAAGTATGTGTTCCTGCTTTATACATTTAAAATGTATTGACAGACCACTAGAATTCTAGTTTTTTTAAAAAAATTGGTCCTGCAAGACTGAAGTCCCCTGTTTAGGTCTTCTGTAGCCCAGATCTTCTGCTGAGAGGTTCCCAGTTTCTCTCCCTGCATCAACCTTGATCCAGATCACCAGAGCCCAGTTATCTCTTTCTACCATCTGTGCTCTTCAAGGGCCACATGAGATCACGAGAGCTCAGACTTCGTTGCAGGCAGCCTAAGTAAACTCGTAAGAGAAGAGCTGTTTGTTTGAGTTTCCCACTTTTGTATTCTTAAAATAATCTACGGAGGTAATAATGTGGCTCAGGCACGCAGACTGGAGGAAAGCAGGAACTCCGTCATGGTGCAAGGGTGTTGTTCCCATTGTGTTACTCTCCACCCTTCATCTGTCAATCACAATGCTAGCAAGCGGAGTATTTCTCAAATGCTTTCAGCCATGGAAGGCTGTGCGGCCTACACAGTTATAGAAGGGCCCAACCCACGGTTGAGTAATTGTAAAAAGCTTCCCCATGTTTCCTCACATGCTTTTGCTAGAGGACTTGTTTTGCATGACACTCCTTGATTTCCCCAGAAGCCACCCTCTATGCTACATACATATAAGCAGCAATGATTTGAAAAAACAGTTTGCAACAAAAAAAGAGGGGCTGTGGCTCAGTGGAAGAACCTCTGCTTGGCATGGCAAAGGTCCCAGGTTCAATTTCCAGCATCTCTAGTTAAAAAGGATCAGGTAGCAGGCGATGTGAAAGAGACCCTGAGACCCTGGAGAGCCACTGCCAGTCTGAGTAGACAATACTGCCCTTGATGGACCAATAGCCTGACTCAGTGTATGGCAGCTTCAGGTGTTCAAAGACATCTTTGTTCTGAAATTGGCACATATAATAACAAATTAGGGGTCAGACCCAACTGGCTTTTCTGTGGGTAAAAAAAAGACCTTTGTCTTTCCTGTGCTGCTTTTTAAAAAAAATGCAGTGAATTTTGAACATAGGTCAGCATTCAAAAATGGCACTTCCTTCTGTATTCTGAGGTCCTTTTTACCACCCCATTCTGCTGCAGGTATAGATCAGACCTAAGCTAGTGACCATCTATTAGATTTATTTATTTATTTTATTTATATTTACATTTATATCCCGCCCTACCCCGAAGGCTCAGGAAATCCTGATAAACTTCTGATGAATCCCAGGGGTTCCAAGGAGCCAAGTTTCTAGATTGGGGCAGTGATGCTCTATATTTTTGGTGATTCAGTGGAGAAGATTCACCTTCACTTGGTCCGAGAACACATTGCCAGGCTCGTAAAGAAGAAAGTCAGCCTGAAGTCTGCAGAGCAGCAAAGCAATTTGGCAAAGGCCATCCAAAGCAATGCCTCAGTTCTGCGCACTTTCTGCACGGAAAATGTAAGTCAGATTGCTCACGGTGTTCTTTTCAGAAGCAGAATGATGTCAGTCTATAAAACATGAATCCAAATGAAGGGCTGGATTGGGGCCTTGTGGCAAAGGAAGCTGGGATTTAACCCTTCAAGCTTACCTGGTTCGCTTTTATTACCAGTTCTAAAGGGGAAAGGTGTGTTTTTAAACAGCCTTTTCCCTTTTAAAATCCTGATTTTCGGCACAGGAAGCTCCGTGGGGGCATTCCGCTCCTTCCCAGCCCCGTGATTCAACATTTAGGACAGGTTTTCCCAGCGTGATACCCGTGAGCACCACAGCGCCTCCCACAACTTCCCTTGGTGCCCACCAAGCTTTTTAAAAAATGGGAGGCGACATTGTAAGACAGGCCTTGTGGTTGACTCCCCTCATTCACATGAAAGGATTTCCACTGGTTGCAAGTGGGGATGGAGGTACTGCGTTTGGCTCCATCTCCTGCAGCAGCCATTTTGGGGTAGCACTCTAGCAAGCCAGTTTGGTTTAATGGTTAGGAGCAGCGGACTCTAATCTGGGAGAACCGGGTTTGATTTCCCCACTCCTCCACATGCAGCTGCTGGGTGACCTTGGGCAAGCCACAGTTTTCTCAGAGCTCTCTCAGCCCCACCTGCCTCACAAGGGTGTCTGTTGTGGGGAGAGGAAGGGGAGGAGACTGTAAGCTGCTCTGAGACTCCAAGTGAAGGGCGGGGTATTAATCCAACTCTTCTTCTTCTCTTCACTCCCTCTCAAAATTCTGTTGGTTCCCACAGGTTCAAAAAGGCTGGGGTCTCCTGACTGAGGGAGCATGCAGATGGGAGAATTTGTCGTCTTTATGATGGATGGTCTAATTCAGTCTCTCTTTTAAAAATTTCTCCTTTGCTAGGGATCCAGTGCCACATGGCTAGACCCTGTCCTCCCAAGCCTGGCTGAAATCATCAAGCTTCAAGATACGAACGCCATCATGGTCGAAGTTGGTGGACTGGCCAGTAGATATCCCGATATCAGGTGGGGGAAAAGAATTTTGTAACGTTGCTTGACAACACTGACACAGTGTGTCTGCGGCGGCGTGGTTATGCAAGCAGGTCACAAGGAGAAAGAGGAAGAAGAGACTGGATTTATACCCCACCCTTCACTTGGTGTCTCAGAGTTCGGCTTACCATCTCCTGTCCCTTCCCCAGCGAGCTGCTTTTACTCAGAGTAGACAAGATGGACCTTGACAGACCAAGGAGCTGTCTCAGTATAAGGACGCCTTTTGTTGAATATATACATGCAACAGCCGGGCTGCACTTCAGGCGGGCTATCCCGCCTGGAAATCTCGACAGTGTATAACTGGGATTGCTAGTCTGATCACATGTCTGTCATCCGGACAGCGCCTCACTTAGCAGGCAACAACATGACAGTCCTCCCGCTTCACCGCATGCTTCCTGTTTTCGTGTGCTTACCTTTTACTTCCTCCTGCACCAGAATGGCAGAACAGGAAAACAAAGCCGAGCAGTTTCTGGCTTCCCCGCTGCGGAGAGCTTTACTGGAAGAGAGCAGTCCTTTTCCGCAAGGTGTTTTGAAAACAGTTGGTGGAACGAGTTATGCGATTCACAGGGTGGATGGGGGGAATCCCCAAAGCGATTGCAGTGACTCCTCCTGGGTTAGTGACTTTGACAGGGCTGATGAATGGGAGCTCACAGCCAGTTTGGTGTAGTGGTTAGGAGGGCAGACTCTAATCTGGGAGAACCGGGTTTGATTCCCCACTCCTCTGCTGGCACCTGGCTGGATGACCTTGGGCAAGCCATAGTTCTGGCTCAGCTGTTCTTGAAAAAGAGCAGTTTCTTTCAGAGCTCTCTCAGCCCCACCTGCCTCACAGGGTGTCTGTTGTGGGGAGGGGAAGGGAAAGGAGTTTGTAAGCCGGTCTGAGACTCCCTTGGGTAGTGAAGGGTGGGGTATAAATCCAATCTCCTCTTCTTCTTCTTCTCTCTTTGTAAACACATGGAGTTGCCTTATATTGAGTCAGATCTTTGATCCATCGAGGTCGGTACTGTCTACTCAGACCAGGAGCAGCCCTTCAGGTTGTTAGGTGGGGGTCTTTCCCATCAGCCACGACCTGGTTCTTTCAACCAGAGATGCCGGAGATTGAACCTGAGATCTTCTGCATCCCAGGCAGAGGCTTTGCTGCTGAGCCACAGCCCCACCCCCTTCGGAAGAATGTCTTTCTGTCTCCTGGCCTCTCTCCCCGATACTTTTACAGCTGGGAGATCCATGTAGAACCTCTCTGAGAGCCATATTCAGGAGCAGATTAAGGCTCACTGGTGCCCTAGGCCCTGACCAATCTTGGTGCCCCCCTCCTTTCCACACTGACCCCCAGTCCATTTTAGTTGTCGACCTGTCTGACCAGATATACAGTGCAGGTCGCAGCAATAGAAAAATTTATTCTTATGATAACACAGTATACTGTACAAACTAAGCTTTTCACCCTTTTCCCAACTTTGTGGTGCCCCCTTTGGCCCTGGTGCCCCAAGCACGTGCTTAGTCTGCTTAATGGTTAATCCACCCCTGCCATATCCGTGCTTGCATGGAATGTCCTTTACATCCCACCCGCAGTCAGACAAACTTATCCAGAACGAGGTTTCCGTTCCTCTGTTTGTTCTCTGTCCTTTGCTTCTCTTTCTGCGTTTCTGACGCTTGATGTTTTTCTGCACTGCAGCAAGAAGCACCTGGCGGCCATCTTGTACTTCAAGGGCAACTTATCCAGCAGTGACACCAAAGGCATCCTGAGCGTGTTGGACATCCATTTAAACTCAACGCTCCCTCCCACATCCTTGTTCCTAGGCTTGGGCTAGACACGCTTCTGTACCACGGACCTAATGAACAATGTTGCAGTTCAGGGAGCAACTGCACAAGCACTTAGTTCCAAACACAACTCGGGGGGGTTCTTTCACGTTGCCCCGGTTTTTTAGGGGGGCGAGGGTGCTTGCCCTTTAATGCCCCTAGGAAAAAAGCTGGGATGGAACTGAGCTTTTGTGGTTCATTGCCTGAAACAGCAGATTCAAGAGTTCCATCAGCTTCCTGGCAGGTCTGGAACATTTCCTCTACTGCCTCAGTTTTCCCATCTAAGAAATGGACACAAATCCTTCAGATCAGTGGTACAGATATGATGTGATAAGATGTTTTCATTGCTGTGTGGTTTGTTAAAGCACTTTCAGGAGAACCTCAAGGTCTGCAATAAGACCTCTCCTTTGGAGAGGGAATTTGTTTGAATTGGCGGGGAAATTGCAGAGGCACAAGAATAGCACTTCTCGATGCACGCTTGTTGAGCTTTTCGAGCAGAAATCTTCTGGGGCTTCTTCCTCGGGAGACAAGCTCTCCTGAACTATAGGCAAGCGGCCGTGAAAAGATGGTGTGATCGACGTCATGAGTTACTGTGTTGGGTTCATATCCCCAGCCATGGAATTCGCTGGGTGATCTCTGGCCAGTCTCTCAGCCTAACCCACCTCACAGGGTTGGTGTGAGGACCATCAGTGGGATCAGCTTTCTTGAGCTGCTTGAAGCAAAAGGAGCATACCGCTGTTAATAATACTGTCAGTGTCTCTCTAAAACAGTTTCAAAATATGAGCATGCCTCTGTACACCAGGGTGGGTAGGGGTTAGAGCGTTAGGCTGGGATTTTAGGAAACTGAGGTTCGAATCCGCACTCTTCGTGGAAGCTTACTGAGTGACCCTGGACCAATCAGACATTCTTTGCCTAACCTGCCCTTGTGAGTATGAAACGGAGGGGAGGAGAACAATTAGTCCCCTTTGGGAAGAGAGGTGTGGTACAAAGGATGTTAGTAAATAATCCTGTATTTAAGTTTCTGCTTTTCAGATCAGGGCAGTGTTTCGATACCCGTTTGTACGGTTGTTTTGTAGTTCCAAGTTATTGTTATGAGTCTTCTCCAGGAGTTCTTCTGGAGAAGCGGCGTAAATAAATAAAACGCTTTTCTATAAAATGTATATGTGCTCGTAAGACATGCTTGTATATGTGCTCGTGAGACATACATGAGAGCCAGTTTGGTGTAGTGGTTCGGAGCGCGGACTCTAATCTGGGAGAACCGGGTTTGATTCCCCACTCCTCCACAGGCAGCTGCTGGTGTGACCTTGGGTCAGTCATAAATTCTTCCAGAGCTGTTCTCTCAAGGGCAGTTCTCGAGAGAGCTCTCTCAGCCCCACCTATCTCACAGGGTGTCTGTTGTGGGGAGGGGAAGGGAAAGGGGATCATGAGCTGTTCTGAGACTCCTTTGGGTAGTGAAGGACGGGGTATAAATCCAGTCTCCTCCTCTTCTTCTTCCACTTCCTCACACACACTGCCAGTGGGCAGCTCCCCCCACCCTATCCCCTACAAATCAGTTAGAGGAGGATACTTTTAAAGGGCTGGATTCTGTTGGTCTCTGTGTGTAAAGTGCTGTCAAGTTATAGCTGACTTATGGCAACCCTGTAGGGTTTTAAAGGCAAGCAATCAAGCAGAAGTGGTTTGCCACTGCCTTCTTAGTGGCTACTAGCCATGGTGACTAAAGGGGAACCTCCATGTTTAGAGGCACTAATCCCCCGAATCCCAGTGCCAGGAGGCAACATCAGGGGAAGGCCTTGGCCTCTGTGCCCTGTTTTTGGCCCTCCAGAGGAACTGGCTGGCCACTGTGTGAGACAGGGTGCTACACTAAATGGACCATTGGTCTGACCCAGCAGGGCTTTTATTATGTTCCTCTGCAAAGTCTTCCTTTGGTGGTCTCCCATCCAAGTACCGACCCTGCTTAGCTTCTGCGATCTGACGAGATCAGAATACACTATACACATCCCTTCTGTTGGTCTGCTGGAACAAATTCAAACAGGAAGAGATGTTAATGGTACATTCTGCCACACTTTTTCATGGGTGCATTGGACTCTGGAAACAGGGCAGTGGGGGGGGGGAATGATGCTTGAATGTGAGATACATCTATTTGCCTTTAGGCTCTCCCTACTATCAGGCAGATTGATGCAGCCGGCTATAGGTGCCACTTAAAGTTGGAGAGCCAGTTTGGTGTAGTGCTTAGGAGCACGGACTCTAATCTGGGAGAACCGGGTTTGATTCCCCACTCCTCCACATGCAGCTGCTGGTGTGACCTTGGGTCAGCGACAAGTTCTTTCAGAGCTGTTCTCTCAAGGGCAGTTAGTGAAAGAGCTCTCTCAGCCCCACCTCCCTCACAGGGTGTCTGCTTGGAGGGAAAGGGAAAGGAGATTGTAAGACGCTCTGAGACTCCTTCAGGTAGTGAAGGCCGGGATATAAATCCAATCTCCTGAGTTTACCCCAAATATCCCCAGGAACAAAATTAGTTTATTGACCCTGTACTAAAATCCAACATGACATCAGGTATAATCACATCGACTGATTTCAACTGGGCTTGTGCCGGAAATGACCTGTGGGTAGTTTCCTCACCAATGTTTAGTCCCTAGGGTTGCCAGCCTCCTGGTGGTCACAAATAACACCCACCAAGGGAAGACCATCAACCATTCACAACTATATATGATCAAAACTCTATATGACGTTCACTAAAGTTCAAGGATGGCTTAGTGGTCATGTTGTTGTTCAGTTGCACAGTTGAGTCCGACTCTTTGTGACCCCTTGGACCACATCACGCCAGTCCCTCCTGTCTTCCACTGTCCTCCAGAATTTGCTCGATTTCATGTTCGTTGCATCTATGACACTGTCCAACCATCTCATCCTTTGCCGTCCCCTTCATCTTTGACCTTCAAACTTTCCCAGCATCAGGGTCTTCTCCAGTGAGGGCTCCCTTCTCATTTGGTGGCCAAAGTATTTGAGCTTCAGCATCTGGCCTTCCAAGGATAGAATAGATCCCAATAGAATGTATAAGCACATATCCAACAGATTGCTCATAACAATTAAGCACTGTTTACAAAAAGAACGTGTTCAAAACCAACAGTAGGCTCTTCTGTAATTCCATACATAAATACTGTCCATAGACCTCCAAACAGAAAGTAACTGTGGCAGAAGATGCCCACCGTGGAAAGAGTAAGAGCCGTACGTCTCTCCCAGGTATAAATCAAGACGTTTCAATTATCTTCAACAGCGGCTAGTGAAACGGAACCCAATTTCCAAAACAACATAGGCACAGCTTCAATGGAATCCTATTGTTGATGGTCTTTCCTTGGTGGGTGTTATTGGTGGCTACACTTGTATGCTAAGGGTTGTCCATTGTCTTTGGCAACCTCCAGGTGGTGGCTGGAGATCCCCTGGGATTACAACCAATCTCCAGGCAACAGAGATCAGTTCACCTGGAGGAAATGGCTGCTTTGGAAGGTGGGCTGTATGGCAGTAAAGGTTCCCTTGCTCGAAAGCCAGTCGAGTCCGACTCTAGGGTTGCGGTGCTCATCTCCGTTTCAAAGCCGAAGAGCCAGCGCTGTCCAAAGACATTTCCATGGCCACGTGGCCGGCATGACTAAACACCAAGGTGCACGGAACGCTGTTACCTTCCCACCGAAGCGGTACCTATTTACCTGCTTGCAATTTCTTGCTTTCGAACTGCTAGGTTGGCAGGAGCTGGAACCAGAGACGGGAGCTCACTCCGTCATGCGGCACACTCGGGTCCCGAACTGCTGAACTACCGACCTTCCACAGCCTGCAGTTCAGCGTCTTAACCACTTGAGCCACCGCAGCTCATTATGTCCCATCAAATGTCCCTCCTCCTCCTACCCAAACCCCACTCTCCTCAGGGTCCACCCCCCCCCCAAATCTCCAGGTATTTCCCAACCTGGAGCTGGCAACCCTTTTACTACTACAAGATCTGAGGGAAATTTGGGTGTGGAGGTATACAATCCATTATAGCTGGAGGGACCTTGGTAGTAATCATATTGGAGAGATCTCTGAAAACTACAGGGACAGGGAAGACTGACCAAAAGAAATTCCACACCCACACACATACACAGACACACAAAGAATAGAATGTCTCAGAGCTTTAAGCCTTGACAAGACTTTTCATCACGTAAGAGCAGGGCTATTTTTGGGCAGGAACTCACAGGAACGGAGTTCCGGCTGGCTCCTGAGTTGGCCACACCCAGCAGGAACTCATTAGCATAATAGGCCACACCCAACAGCAGAAACTCATTAGGATTGGCTACATTAGGGGTGTGCGGCCTAACATGCAAAGGAGTTCCTGCTACAAAAAAAGCCCTGGCTTGACAACAAACAAGGTAAACAGAATAAGAAGCAAAAGGTGAGTGTGTCTGGATGACCACACTTCTGGGAACATGGGGTGTGTGGCCTAATATGCTAATGAGCTGTGCTGTCAGGGATGTGTCCTAATAAGCAAATGAATTTCTGCTGTTGGGTGTGGCCTATTATGCTAATGAGTTCCTGCTGGGCTTTTTCTACAAAAAGAGCCCTGCGTAAGAGTATAAAATGTATACTGCAGCTTGTCTTGAATGAGTCATCCTCCTTGGTATCGAACCCTTGGTGCAGGGAAACTACGCAGCCTCTTCCAGGTCCTGGGGAGATCATTCCTGGGGTTATGGGAGCCACATGCGGCAATAGCCACATGCAAAGGAACTGGAGAGGAGCACTTGTGGAAAGAGGGAGGAGGAACGATTTCAGCCCCAGCAACGCTGGGGGGGTTCATAGGTGCTGCAGAAATGGAGAGGAGCGCAGGAAAATACTGTGTTCTATTGTTTATGGATGGGTTAATGCAGGCCCCTGTATCGTAATTGTGTCATATATCCTGGATTCATTCTCAGAAATTCCCGGATGGCTTGCATGCTGTGATTAATTGATATTGAGTCGATGTTAGCACACAAGGATCCAAAAAGGAAACGAGCATTTCTGAAAACTGGGAGTTTCACACTCCTCCTTTCAAGGATAGGATCCAAAATGAACATTTCCCCAAAGGTGGGGATTTCACATTTCTATTCCCACGGACAGGATCCAAAATGAACATTTCTCCAGAACTGGGGAATGTCATCCTCTTATCCCTTAGGATTACAGCAGCAAACCATTTCGAAAGCGTAGCCTCGTATTAACTCTGAGCTGTATCCACCCAACGGGCTCCTGCAGTTATCATTGGCTGGCATTCCGGATATATTGGTTGCAAAACCAAAAACGTTTTAAAAAGCCATCTGTACAAGGCTTCCTAGGTTCTAGATCGAATCAGGCCTGAACTCTTTCTAGAAGCTAAAATGACTAACCTGAGGCTGTCGTACTTTGGTCACAGTATGAGAAGAGCAGAGTCACCGGGAAAAGACAATCATGCTAGGAAAATTTGAAGGCAGCAGGAAAAAAGGAAGACCCATGGATTGACTCAGTCAAGGAAGCCACAAAGGCCCTCAGTTTGCAAGACCTGAGCAAAGGCTCAGTTGGGTAGCCGTGTTGGTCTAAAGTAGCAGAACCAAGTTTGAGTTCAGTGGCACCTTTAAGACTAACCAAGTTCTATTCAAGACATGAGCTTTTGTGTGTATCTGAAGTGTGTATCTGAAGAAGGGTGGGTGCACATGAAAGCTCATACCTTGAATTAAAACTTGGTTGGTCTTAAAGGTGCCCCTGGACCCAAATGTTGCAGAGCAAGGCTGTTAATGATAGGACGTTTTGGAGGACATTCAATTCATGGGGTTGCCATAAGTCAGAAGAGACTGGACAGCACTTAATACACACATACAAGGCGACACGAGAACTAACCTAGCCCGAGGAGCTCATCGGAAATGAGACTTCACAGGGCAATCCTAAACACAATTATTAAAGGTAAAGGTTTTCCCTTGCTTGAAAGCTAGTCGAATCCGACTCTAGGGGGCGGTGCTCATCTCCGTTTCCAAGCTGAAGAGCCAGCGCTGTCCGAAGATGCTTCCATGGTCATGTGGCCGGCATGACTAAATGCCGAGGTGCACAGAACACAGTTACCTTCCCACCAAAGCAGTACCTATTTATCTACTTGCAATTTCTTGCTTTCAAAC